AAGTACCAAAGACCCTGAATGTTAAAACATATGTATTATATTATAGTACCATTTGAGGGAAGAAAAAGTACCAGAAAGTTCTCTATTAAATAATCTCTTTCAGTGTATGTTCAATAATCATGTAGTTTGGTTTCATATTATAGAATATAAAAAAGTACCATTTGAAGAAGGAAAAAGTATCAAAGATCACCTCCGATAGATTCTCATTTAACAAGGATCGGGTTTCATGTATTTCGCTTCTACTATAGAAAATTTAAAGAAAGAATGAAAAAGTACCAAAGAGTATCCTCTCTAATTTAGTATAAAATTATGTTTCTGGGTTTAATGTTTTAGTACCATTTGAGGGACGAAAAAGTACCAAAAAGTTCTCTATTAAAAAATCTCTTTCAGTGTATATTCAATAAACTTGTGTTTTGGTGTCGTATTATAGAATATAAAAAAGTACCATTTGAAGAACGAAATAGTACCAAAGATTCACCTCCGATAGATTATCATTTAATAAGAACCAAAGAGTACCCTCTCTAATTCAGTTTCTGGGTTTTAGTACCATTTGAGGGACTAAAATGTACCAAAAAGTTCTCTATTAAATAATCTCTTTCAGTGTATGCTAAAAAATCATGTGTTTTTGTTTCATATTATAGAATTAAAAAAGTACCATTTGAGGTAAGAAAAAATACCAAAAAGTTGTCTTTTAAACATTTGAAAAAGGAAAAAGTAAAAAAAAAATTACTTCTGATAGATTCTTATTTAGTCGAAACTATGTATTAGGGATATTGTAATGATTTAAAGTTTTTGAAAAATAACTTTCAGTTTTAACTTTTAACAAACCAAAAAAAATGGTCTTTAATTCCTTTAATACTATACGGATGTAAACCGTTTGGTTTATTTTAAATAATGACAAAAGTACTTTTTTTAAAGATGGCTGGTTTTTGGTATTATTTTTCAGTCTACTTTTGTCAACGCCTTAGTTTGCAACATAAAAATATTTGTTTAACACACGTAGTAGCTTAATGACAAAAGTTTACAAAAAATGAAGCTTGAAAAAGTTTCTTTTTATAAAACTTTAAAAAAACAAAAAATTTGGTCACCTTTAAAATAGTTTTACTTAAAATTTTTCTTTTGGGTTTTACTTGTTTTTTTTTTTTTTTTGTCTACATTTAAAAAACTTTTATAATCCAATTACCTTTACGTTGTGTGTGTGCAAACGAAAAGAAAAAAATAAAATATTTTTGCAATTTTGCATTTTCATTTAAATTTTTCTTGTTTCATTTTAGTAAATTTCCGTTTCCGTCTTAGTTTTCAGTTTTGCTTTTTCCGTTATTTGCTTAATTTATTTTGCCAAAAACTAAGTGGTTGAGTTAAATAGGAGGTTAAATGCAAAGTAAAAGGGAATTTGTAATGCGTTTTTTTCATTCTACTGCAAAAGAAAGGAAGAAAAAATAAGTACATACTCTGCTATTCAAATAAGATTTCCAAATGTTTTATAAAATTTGTTATTTAAAAAAAGGATAAAATTTGTTTAACTAAAATATATTACAATAATTTCATTAACTTAATTAATTAATTATAATTATTTAAAAAGCTTGCCTACTTTTAGACATTCTCTGTTAAATTTACTATAGCATATATACATATGTATGTCTTGCAATAATTTATAGTGCCTACTTTTAGGCTGCTAAATCAACTTTCAACTCAGTAGTTTAATTAATAATGACTTATTCAACTATTTTTATTAATTTTTAATATGATAAATTTACTACTGCCTAACTACATTATCATGCATTTCAACAATTTCTATTGCCTACTTTAAGACTGCTAAAACAAAACTTTCAACTTAATTGCAGTCATTATTTTGTGGTTTCAATTATCTATTTTGCAGTTTTAAGTTAATTTCACTTTCAAACTTTAATGCAATTTATAACTAAAAGTCTAAACCCCCCTGCCTTCTCCTGCCAAAGTTTACAAATCGTTAGAGTTAATTATGTTTGACTAGTACATCAATCTTTAATAAATTGCTTAATGTTCATTTGCTGCAATTAAACTTTAATTTAATAAATTCGTATTTTTCTTTCCTTCAATATTTGTTGCATAAAACTTTTGCGCATTTTTTTTCCATGTAGTATTTCTAAATTGAAAAGTAAAAATGATTTTTCATAGAACCAACAAATCTTAAAGTGAACAAATCATAATGACGTCTGTGTTGCTTATATTCACAATTGCAATATGTGTGTTTTTGATTTTGAGTAAGAAAAAAAAGTAATATTTTGTTTTATAAAAAAAACTACAACAATAATAAGAAAAAATATGGGAAAAAATGTGAAAACAAATATCGAAGAACTTATGGCAAACAAACCCATGACATGGCAGAATGAAAATGAAATGTAAACGAAATAAAAAGTTGTAAAGAACATTTAAATGGTGAGTGGTAAAGGACGACTTTAGTATAACGTTTTAAATAAAATTTTTATAAAAAATCTAGACTTAATAAAATCAAATTCGCAAAAACAATTACAAAAAACTTATAGATGAACGGACATCACTAAACGATCTAGAATATACATTTACATTCACATTCCGGATCCTTTGATGAAGTCCATTCGTATGTTTTTTGTAATTTATTTTGCTGTTCTTCTAAATTATTAGGGTCAAAGGTCAATTTATTGAATATACAACCAATTGTAGCAAACTTACAAATGAATAGAATAGGCTTCACTAAAAGATCCAGAATATACTTTTTCATTCCGCATCCTTTAGTGAAGTTCATTCGTATGTTTATTGTAATTAATTTTGCTTATTTTCTAAATTATCAAGGTCAAAGGTCAATTTATTGAATATAGATTAACGAATTTCACTAAGAGATCCAGAATATACAATTACATTCCGGATCCTTTAGTGAAGTCCATCCATCCATCCGTATGTTTGTTGTAAATAATTTGGCTTTAGTTCTAAAATATCAAGGTCAAAGGTAAATTTATTGAACACACAACTAATTACAACAAACATACAGATAGGTGGACTTCACTAAAAGATCCATAATATACATTTACATTCCGGGTAATTTAGGGAAGTCCATCCGTAAGTTTGTTGTTATTAATTTAGCTTTTCTTCTAAAATATCAGGGTCAAAGGTCAATTTATTGAATATACAAACAATTACAACAAACGCACAGATGGAAGGACATTACTAAACGATCTAGAATATACTTTTACATTCCCGATCCTGTAGTGAAGCCCATCGTTATTTCTGTTGTAATTAGTTTTGCATATTTTCTAAAATATCGGGGTCAAAGTTCAATTTATTGAATTACAACAAACGCACAGATGAACGGAATTCACTAAATGATCCAGAATAAACATTTACAGTCCCGATCCTTTAACGCAGTTAATCCGTATGTTTGTTATAATTAATTTCGCTTATTTTCTAAAGTATCAGGGTTAAAGGTCAATTTATTGAATATACAACCCATTACAACAAACGTACAAATGGATGGACTTCACTAAATCATCCGGAATATACATTTACATTCCGAATCCTTTGGTAAAGTCCAACTGTATGTTTATTATAATTAATTTTGCTTATTTTCTAAAATATCAGGGTCAAAGGTCAATTTATTGAATAGAGATTAACGGATTGCACTAAGAGTTCCAGAACATACAATTACATTCCGGATCCTTTAGTGAAGTCCATCTATATATGTGCTATAATTAATTTTGCTTTTTTTTGATATATCAGGGTCAAAAGGTCAAATTATAGATTTTTTTTCTTAAAAAGGTCTAAATTTTCAAAAGTGAAATTTTAGAAATACATACAAACCAAACTTAATTGACCTACTATAGCATGCAATCATTGTTTTTTTTTTCTTTATTATAAAAAAACTTTACCCAAAGATGAAGTTTGAACAATCCAAGAAAATAAAGCTGAAATGGGCAAAAAAAAGAGTTAATACAACTTGACAGTCATTGCAAAGAATTGTATAACTATAAATCAGGAAAAAAACTCTTAGAAAAATAAAGTTCTTTTTACCCTTAGCAACATTTCATCCACAGACAATAACTTAAACAAAAAGAAATAATCGTATATGTATGTCGCTCTGTATAATTGTGTAATGGAAGAAGGAAATGATTGAAAAAGATTTACTTCCTGACAACAAATATGAAGTTGAAATTGAACAAAAACAAATAGAGAAGAAAAACTAATGAAATTGACATGACAAAGAAGTATTTATTTACCGGTTAAGTTTAAGCTGAGTTTCAAGATTCTTTTAATTAAATTACTAAAAGTTTAATTTGCAAATGTTTTTAAAATGTAATTGTATTTACTTATATTTAATCCTTTATTTTTCTTTTGTTTTTCTTTTCATGTATCCACTTCCGGCTGGCTGTGTTGTCTGCGATTTTATTATATTTCAACTCAACAATGTGTTTTAATTTCAATATTTATTATTTATTCTTTATGATCTCGCGTGTGTGTGTGTGTATGTGTAACTTGTAAATAATTGTATCCGTTTCCTGTTGACAATTTCTTGTTGCATATTATTTTCTTGTGTCAACAAACATTCTCTCCTTTACTGTTTTACTCTGCTGCCCATTGTTGTTGTCCCTTCTTATACATATATCCTCTCATCTCAATGGCTGCACTTGCAATGCAAACATTGTGTCATTACCCAACGTTAAACAACAATTTTATCTTTTTTACCCTGCAACATACATATACATCCACACAACAATGAACAATAAATTGTCAATATACAATATTTTATCCTTTTCAATTTACGCTTTTCATTCACAATATTATTATTATTACTTTTTTCCTTTTTCCTCTGTGGCTGTGTTTTTTAAATAAATAAATCTTTTGCTACTGTTGCCATATTTACTCATGTGACCTTTATCTTTCAAACATGTTTGTCTTCTTTGAAACACGGTATTCCTTTGCTGCAAACACACACATACTCAACCTTCCCATTCACCCACTATGTACTTCCACATATTCCGACCCTTTAGCATATAGAAAATGTCAAACAACCGATGTATTTTGCAATCAACCTGGTGGTCTAGCACCCTCTGATGGCAGCCGTCTGTCCGGTCCCTGTGTACCCAAAGAGAAACGTTGTGATGGCTATTTAGATTGTCGCAATGGTCGTGATGAGGAGAATTGTAAGGGTACTGCCTGTCGTTTGGATCAATTTCGTTGTGCCAATGGTTTAAAGTGTATTAGTGCTTCACTCAAGTGCAATCACAAAGATGACTGTGGTGATAATTCTGATGAACAAGGATGCAGTAAGTACTATACTATTTTTTTATTATTTTTCTTAATTTAACTTTGTGTGTGTGTGTTGGTTTTCTTTTATTGTTACTGCACTTTGCATAAAAATGCAAATAATAAAGGGTTTGTAATAGTGAGGGTGAGCGGGTGCGGGTGCAACAGCATTTTGTATGCAAATTTATATTCTGCCGTATTAAGCTAGAACAAGGTTAAAAGATAAGGGACGATAAGATTAAATGAGATGAGTAGTCGAGATACATTTGTTAGAATAGAGCTTAAGTAATGTGGCTGCTTAAGAGATTTTTTTTGTACAATTTTACCAAGTGAAATATTTACTTTAACTTTAAATGGGTTAAGTAGGCATTTGCAAGCCAACCTGTTGGCAAGAGGGTCATTATATATTTCTTATTAAAAAAAACTTAAATTTCATTATTTAAAGAGAAATTTTAGCACAAAAGGGGAATTTTTATGGGATTCATATTAAAAACTGAAAATTGTCAAAGTTTTTCAAATTGACACATATACCAATTGGCGGCCAAAAATGAGGAAATAAACAAACTATATGTTTGAAAGAGAAAAGTTAATGAAACTACTAAAAATGGAATCTTCCAAAAATAACTTTAAAGTCTCTTGCCCAATCTTGGTTGACAACCTAAATCGCAACTTAAGTGTTTTCATCTATAAAATGTTCTTATCTAACTGGCAACAAAAAATATTTCAGTAATTCAATTTTAATTAGTAAATACTTCCATACCACTACACTACTACTTCCATACCACTAGCAAGATTTCCCCCACAAAAATAAGCTAAAACTTCACCCAATTTCTTAAAAATTACAAAAATTACTAGTTTCTTTAAAGTACATATTTTCTACCTTTACGAAAAATCCCCTTTTATTTCCTGTCACCCTTCTAAATATGCAATTAACTTTTATTCTAGTAGATTTCTCCCCCCTCTCATACTCATCACCTTACGATTCGTGCAAAACAACTTTGAACATTTCCTTAACAAAACACACACTAATGACTCTGTCAACAATATATTACATTCATCACCGTAAATTCTTTATGTTTCTCATACGCTCCTTGCAACATTTCAGATTTTCCACCTTGTCATCATGGTCAATTCCGTTGTACGAACGCATTGTGTATACCCTCGAATTTCTATTGTGATGGTTATCATGACTGTGCTGATGAGAGTGATGAAGCCAATTGTACGGCAATAGCATGTCCTGATAATAAGTTCCTTTGTCCACGCGGTGGTGCTAATGGGACACCGAAATGCATATTGAAAACACAATTATGTGATGGCAAACGAGATTGTGAAGATGGTAGTGATGAGGAAACAGCTTGTTGTAAGTATTAAAATGCATGAGAACACACACATGCAGATTTTCATTGCATATACATAAGTCTGAGATATGAGGTTTAAATGAGCTTTAAAGGAATGTTCTAAAATCAAGTAAATTCCGTAATATATAACATATGTTTGAATATTTTACAATATGAAATAATTCCTTTAAGTCTTTTCAACACAGCTGTACATTTGTATGTAAATTTTATTGTAAAATATCTTACTTATTTGCGTATGTGTGTGTCTATTACAGCCACTACTTCCTGCCCGGCCTTAAGCTGTGAATATAAATGTGGTCCCTCATTAACGGGTGGTATCTGTTATTGTCGTCCTGGCCAATCTTTGGCTCCCAACAATCGCACTTGTGTAGATTTAGATGAATGTGCCGAATGGGGCCATTGTGATCAATTGTGTACGAATACCGAAGGCTCCTATTCCTGTTCCTGTAGTCACGGTTATACATTAATCAACAATGCTAAGTGTATAGCACCGGATGCTAATAATTTACAATTGATATTTGCCCATGATCGTGCAGTGGTTAAGATGTCGGCCCATGGTGGTGATCCTCGTGTGATAGCTAATGCTAGTGCTGCCTCAGGTGTGGCCTATCATTATCAAAGGAATACCCTGTACTGGTCAGATATTAAGACACGTAAAGTTCAATCTCTGCCTTTGGATGTCTTTAGCAGTGCTATACAACCATTAGATCTTACCTTACCCGGCACCTGGGCCCCCGTTGCTTTGGCTGTAGATTGGGTAGGTGATAAGATATATGTGGCCGATTTGGTGGGACAAAAGATTGACGTATTCGAATTGAGTGGCAATTGGCATGCTGTGGTTTTGGGTTCCAATTTGACCAGTCCTGCTGATTTGGCTTTAGATCCCACCGCTGGTTTAATGTTTGTGGCCGATGGTGGCCAAGTTTTAAAGGCTCATATGGATGGTACCCATACCAGATCCATAGTGTCGGAAGCTGCCTACAAAGCTTCAGGTGTTACAGTAGATATTATTAGCAAACGTGTTTTCTGGTGCGATTCTCTCCTGGACTACATCGAAACCGTGGATTATGAAGGCAATAGACGTGTTATGGTTTTAAGAGGACAGCAGGTTCCTTCACCCTCCCGCCTGGCCTTATTTGAAAATAGAATCTTCTGGACTGACGCCACCAAACAGGGAATTATGTCGGTGGATAAATATGCCGGACCCACCTCTATACAAGTCACCTACAAAGCCAAAGATATTAGAGAACCTAAGGGCATAGTGGCTGTACATGCCTTAAGTCAACCTAAAGCCTCCAATCCCTGTGGACCCAACAATGGTGGCTGCAACCACATGTGCATTGTAACAGCTGTTAAAGGGGCCAATCATTTGGGATATCGTTGTGCCTGCCACACTGGTTATCAATTACAATCGGATTTGAAAAATTGTAAAATCGTAAGAGAATTCCTTATGTACTCGCAACAAAGATTTATTAAAGGCAAGGTATTGGAACCTGTTATCGAAGGCTTTAGTGATGCCATCTTACCTGTTGTTTCAAGAAGAGCTCGTTTTGTGGGCTTAGATTTTGATGCCAGAGATGAGTTTATCTATTATTCAGATGTTTTACAAGATGTTATCTATCGTGTACATCGCAATGGCACTGGACGTGAAATTGTCTTGGCCTCACAAAATGAAGGTGTTGAAGGTTTAGCTGTTGATTGGGTCTCCAAAAATCTTTACTATATTGATTCGCGCAAGGGTACTCTTAACGTCCTATCCACCCGCAATGTCACCTATCGCCGCACTTTGTTGAAAAACCTTAAAAGACCCAGAGCAATAGTAGTGCATCCCAACAGAGGTTATATATTCTTCTCGGAATGGGATCGCCCTGCCAATATAACTAGAGCCAACACCGATGGCACCAATCTATTGGTATTTAAGAATGTTACACTCGGCTGGCCTAATGGTTTGTCAATTGATTTCAAAGAAGATCGTGTCTATTGGTGTGATGCTCTTCTCGATCATGTCCAACATGCCAAATTGGATGGTAGTGACATTAAGACGGTGAACTCTAGACTCGTGCGTCATCCCTTCTCTATAGTCATACACAATGATTGGATGTATATAACAGACTGGCGTTTAGATGCCATTATACGTCTTCACAAACTAACGGGAGAACAGGAAGAAATGATGGTTAGAGAACCTCAAACAAATCGTTTATATGGTGTTAAAGTCTACAGTCATGATGTGCAAAAGGTAGAAGATGCACAACCCTGTCACAGAGATAATGGTAATTGTGAAAAGATTTGTTTTGCGGTGCCCAACAATGATACTGGTACTCTGGAAGCGAAATGCTCATGTCCTTATGGTGAACGTTTAGCCGATGATCAAACTTCTTGTGTTATCGATCAAAGTGCCGAACCACCCGTACAACCATGTCCTAACTCCTGGGATTTCACGTGCAACAATCAGAGATGTATACCTAAGTCGTGGGTTTGTGATGGTGACGACGATTGTTTGGATAATAGTGATGAAGAGCAAAATTGTACAAGTAAGTAACAAAACTTAAAAGATTTAAGTTTTAAAATTATCTAATCTTCAACTTTTTTTACACTTTCAGAACCTACTTGTGGCTCTAATGAATTCCAATGTAAATCTGGTCGTTGTATTCCTCTCAATTTCCGTTGTGATCAGGAAAATGATTGCGGTGATAATTCTGATGAATTTGAATGCGGCAATGTTACTTGTGGTACTGCTCAGTTTGCCTGTGCTAATGGCCGTTGCATACCCAATATGTGGAAGTGTGATAGTGAAAATGATTGCGGTGATGGCTCTGATGAGGGTGATTTTTGCGCTGAAAAAACTTGTGCCTACTTCCAATTCACATGTCCACGCACTGGTCATTGCATACCTCAAAGTTGGGTGTGTGATGGTGATGATGATTGTTTCGATAAACAAGATGAGAAAGATTGTCCTCCCATTACTTGTCTGGCGAATCAATTCAAATGTGCGGATCTCCGTCAGTGCGTAGAGGAATCGTATAAATGTGATGGTATACCCGATTGTAATGATGGTTCCGATGAATTAGGTTGTCCTTCTATGGGTCCAAATCAATGTAATTTAGAGAAACACTTTAGATGCAAGTCCACTGGTTTCTGTATACCCATTGCCTGGCATTGTGATGGTTCTAATGATTGTTCAGATCACTCGGACGAGGAAGATTGCGGTCAAATCACTTGTGCCCCCAATTTCTTCAAATGTAACAATACCAACTGTGTTTTCAAGGCGTATATCTGTGATGGTAAAGATGATTGTGGTGATGGTTCCGATGAAAGTTCCCAACATGCTTGTGTTCCTCCTCCCTTCAAATGTCCTCATGGTCAATGGCAATGTCCAGGAGTAAGTGAACGTTGTGTCAATATGACCTCAGTATGTGATGGTACTCCTGATTGCCCCAATGGTGCAGATGAGGGTGAAGGTTGCGATTTGGCCGAGTGTGAACATCAAACTGGCTTATGTTCGAATGGCTGTCAGAAGACTCCATTGGGTGCTACTTGTGTTTGTCCCCCTGGATCCGAAATTGGTGATGATAAATATACTTGTGTGGATACTAACGAATGTGATCCTCCCGGTTTGTGCTCTCAAATGTGTACCAACACAAAAGGCTCTTACTTCTGTTCCTGCACGGATGGTTACCTCTTAGACGCAGACAAACATAGATGCAAAGCTGTTAATCATTCGGCAGCCTTCCTGATTATATCCAACCGTCATTCTATTCTGGTAGCTGATTTGAAAGATCAAGGTTTGGAGAGAGTGCCCATTTATGTGGAAAATGTAGTTGCCACTGCCTCGAATATGCACACTGGTACCATTTTCTGGAGTGACATGAAGTTGAAAAAGATATCTCGGTTAGATCGTGGTTCTGATCCTCAAGAAATTATAACTACTGGTTTAGATTTGGTTGAAGGATTGGCCTACGATTGGATAGCTAAGAATTTATATTGGTTGGACAGTAAGCTCAATACCATAGAGGTGTCATCCGAGAATGGTTCAAATCGTTTGGTTTTGGTGAGAGAAAACATTACTCAACCCAGAGGCATGTGTATAGATCCTAGTCCAGATGCCAGATTTATTTTCTGGACTGATTGGGGTGAAAATCCACGCATTGAACGTATTGGCATGGACGGTACTATGCGCGATACTATTATAAATACCAAAATCTATTGGCCTAATGGTTTAACTTTGGATACTGCTACAAAGAGAGTTTACTTTGCCGATTCGAAATTGGATTTCATTGATTTCTGTTATTACAATGGTACCGGTAGACAGCAGGTTTTGGCTGGTAGTCATTATCTATTGCATCCTCATTCCTTATCGCTCTTCGAAGATACTTTATATTGGACCGACAGACAATTGAATCGTGTATTGTCCGCCAATAAATTCCGAGGTCACAATCAAACCGTAGTTTCTCATCTTATAAGTCAACCTTTATCTATACATGTTCACCATCCCTCATTGCAACCTTTACATCCTAATCCATGTGAGAACTCCGATTGCCAACATTTGTGCTTGCTTAGTCCAAGTGCCAGTAAAGGATATTCCTGCAAATGTAAACCGGGATATCGTTTGTTAAGTGAAGGACGTTGTGTAGAAGAAGAAAATCCCTTCCTAATGGTGGTTAAGGGTACACAAATTGTTGATATTCCTTTGAATGGTGGTGATGCTCGTGCCGGTAATTTGGCTCCTGTAATTGGAATAGAAAGTAGTACTGGTTTAGATTTCGATCGTAAGGGAGAAACACTCTACTGGGTTCAAGGTCGCGAAGATGATGATGAAAACTGCACCATCTTTACCACACCCTATGGAGGTGGTAATAAGACACAGTTCCTAGGTTCAGATACCGGTATAGTAGGAGCTCCTTATACCATAGCCTTCGATTGGTTAGGACGTAATCTCTATATGGGCAATCGTGTGGCCAGCAACATTGAAGCTGTTCGTGTAGATGGCAAGATCAAGTATCGCACCATAATTCTGGCTAATGATGGCAATAAAACATCAGTCTCTAAACCCAAACAGATTGTATTGGATCCCAATCATGGCAAATTATTCTGGATTGATGAAGGAGGCTTTGGAGTACCTACCAAGATAGGTCGAGTGAATATGAATGGCAATAATCCTATAGTGTTGAAAGAAGATATTGAAAAACCTGAAAGTATTGCATTGGATATAGACAAGAGTTTAGTGTATTATTCCACTCAGTATCCAGCCACTATTTGTGTAATGGATTATCATGGTGAAGATCATAGAGTATTGCTTACGGAAGAAAATGCTATCTCGAAACCTAGAAGTTTAGGAATCTTAGATTCTCGATTGTACTATTTGGATCCTACTTATGAAAATATCGTGAGAGTAGACTTGCCAAGAGGTGATAATCCTAAGACAATAGTCGACAATGAACCGGAACTCAAGAGTATGATGATATACAAGAAGAGACCCATGATGCAACATCCTTGCCAGACCAACAATGGCAACTGCGAACACTTGTGTATACCAGATGATAGTGCTTCGCGCACTTGTGCCTGTGGTATGGGTTATCGCAAGGAAAATGATGTCACTTGTGTTGCTTATAAGACTTTCGCTGTGGTATCCCAATTGGATGTCACCCGAGGCTATTCTCTTTCTGATAGTTCTGAAGCAATGGTTCCGATTACCGGTGTGGGTCATCATATTCTTCATGTTGATGTACTCTTCCGTGAACAATGGATTTACTGGGCTGAATATAATAGAGGCGAATGGAGTGGTATTTTCCGTACCAGACCTAATGGTACAGAATTGGAGCATATCATTAAGTTGGGTATTGGTAGCAATGGCATTAGAGGTTTAACCATCGATTGGGTAGCTGGTAATATGTACTTTACAAATGTATATCCTCATGAAAATTATGTGGAAGTGTGCTGGTTAGATGGCAGTCACCGCAAGGTGTTGGTTAAAACAACAAATGATGCTCCCCGTGAATTGGCAGTTAATCCCATTAAACGTCTTCTATACTGGATTGATTACGGACAATATCCTCGCATAGGCAAGGCCTTCTTAGATGGAAGCAACTGGACCCCAGTGGTGACTTCGGGCATTTCAAATCCTAGGGATTTGACTGTAGATATGTTAACACATGACGTTTACTGGGTAGATTCAAAATTGGATACCATACAGAAAATTTCCTACTCTGGTGGCAATCGTCAAATTATCAGACGCATGTTGCCCAATCCAATGGGTATTGCCATACATCTGGGAGATGTTTACTGGGTGGATCGTAATTTGATGACAGTATTCAAAGCCTCTAAATTACCTGGCAACAACTCTTTACCCACTAAAGTCAGAACCAACCTATCCAAATTGAGAGACATTGCTATTTACAGTATCAACAACCAGCCACAAGATGAAAGCAACCCTTGTACACGCCTAGGCAATGGTGGTTGTGATCAATTGTGCTTCAGCTTCCCACCAGATGCCTCAAATCCTACACGTCTCAATTACAAATGTGACTGTGCCACCGGTAAACTTGCTAATGATGATCGTAAATGTGAAACTGTCAACGAATATTTGGTATTTGCTACTCGTACTGAAATAAGAGCTGTTAACTTGGATCCCAGATCGACCCAAATACCCTTCCCACCTATGACAAATCTGACAAATGTGGTAGGCTTAGATTTTGATTACAACGACAATCATATGTTCTATACACAAATCCGTCCATGGGCTAAAATCGCCTACACCAAGGCCGATAGCCCCAGCCTCACTGATGCCCAAGTTGTTTTAAGTAAGGGTATTAATCCAGAAGGTATAGCTTATGATTGGACTCAAAATAAGGTTTACTGGACCGACAGTTCAAATAATTCCATCTATGCCATGAACTTAGATGGTACCGATTTGGTAATGATTGCGAGAGTGGAAAGGCCTAGAGCTATTGTGTTAGACCCCTGTAATGGTACCTTGTTCTTCACCGATTGGGGTAGATTTGGTACTTCCGGCAAGATTTTCAAAACCACCATGGCTGGTTCCCTTAAACGGGCCATTGTGGATAAAGATCTCTCCCAACCCTCCGGCTTGGCTATAGATTATGATGAACGCAAACTTTATTGGACTGATGCTGTAAGAGAAAAGATCGAAAGAGCCGATTTAGATGGTAAAAATAGAGAATTGTTAGTGGCTGCTACTATATATCCCTTCTCCATAACCGTTTTCCGTAATTATATATACTGGACTGATTTGCAATTGAGAGGTGTCTATCGTGCTGAGAAACACACTGGTGCTAATATGGTGGAGATGGTTAAACGTTTAGAAGATTCCCCTAGAGATATACGAGTCTACAGCTCAGAGAGACAAAAATGTAGTGTCAATCCTTGTCTTATCAATAATGGTGGTTGTGCTCAATCCTGTCATCCTGCACCCAACGGCAAAGCAGAATGTAAATGTGATGACAACTCCAAGGTGGTTAATGAGGGACGTATGTGTGCTCCTCGCAATAATACTTGTGAAGCCAGCAAATTCTATTGTCAAAATGGCAAATGTATTTCACGCATGTGGTCTTGTGATGGTGATGATGATTGTGGTGATAATTCCGATGAAGATCCTGCCTATTGCGCCTACCATTCCTGTTCTCCTAATGAATTCCGCTGTAACAATGGTCGCTGCATATTCAAGAGCTGGAAGTGTGATCATGAAAACGATTGCAAAGATGGTTCCGACGAAATTGACTGTACTTATCCTCCCTGTGTTGATGGTGAATTTACTTGTGCTAATGGCCGTTGTATACCTCAATCTCAGGTCTGTAATGGTGTTAATGATTGTAAGGATAATGCCACTTCAGATGAAACACATGAGAGATGTCCTACTAACACTACCTGTCCGGCTAATCATTTGAAATGCGAGAAGACCAACATTTGCGTAGAACCCTATTGGCTATGTGATGGTGACAATGATTGTGGTGATAACTCCGATGAAGATCCTCTACACTGTGGCCAAAGAACTTGTCCTACCAATAGCTTCCGTTGTCCCAACCACAGATGTATTCCGGCCACCTGGTATTGTGATGGTGACGATGATTGTGGTGATGGTGCTGATGAACCTCCAGAGTATTGTAAATCTGAAGGAAGAACTTGTTTCGGCGATCTCTTCACCTGTGACAATGGCAACTGCATACCACGAATCTATATTTGTGATGGTGATAATGATTGTTTGGACAATTCTGATGAAGATGGCAGACATCAGTGCAGTAAGTTAAAATTAATTGTAGAATGATAACAAAATACTTATATACAATTTCTCTAAAATTCCTAGATGACCGTAAATGTGATGAAGAAACTGAGTTTACTTGTATCGAAAACAAGTCCTGGGGTCGAGCTCAATGTATACCCAAGAAATGGATATGTGATGGTGATCCAGATTGTGTAGATGGTGCTGATGAAAATGTTACTTTACACAATTGTGCAACGCAGCAACCCTGTGCTGATGATATGTTCACCTGTGGCAATGGAAGATGTATTAATAAGGTACGTTATCTAGACTGCCAAAGATTACCACAAGACTTAATATCAAATCTTTATTACTTTTAGGGCTGGGTTTGTGATCATGACAATGATTGTGGTGATGGTACTGATGAGGGTAAATTCTGTAATTCCAAATATAAGACCTGTTCGCCTCAAGAGTTTACTTGTCAAAATTTCAAATGTATTCGCAATCAATATCGTTGTGACGGTGAAGACGATTGTGGAGATCATTCCGACGAGGTGGATTGTAAAAAGGATAACGTGACCTGTGCTACAGGACAATTCGCCTGCAGTAATGGTCAATGTATTAATTCGACATTGGTTTGTAACAAGGTACCCGATTGTACCGATGAGTCAGATGAACCAGCTCATTGTTTCGTAGACGAGTGTGCCAAGGTGGAAATTAACCAGTGTGGTCATAAATGTGTGGATACACCTACAAGTTACTATTGTGACTGTAATAAGGGTTATAAGTAAGTAGTTATTATTTTGTTCTAAACGAAAATATTCTTAATTTTTAATTGCATCATTGCAGACTTTTAGCCGATGGCAAAGCTTGTGCTGACATTGATGAATGTATTGAATTGCCTGGAGCTTGCTCACAACACTGTTCGAACACACCCGGAAGCTTCTATTGTAAATGCGATGAACGCTACTATGAACGCCAGTTAGATGAACACACTTGCAAACGCAAAGACAATACCCCAGCCTGGTTAATATTTACCAACAAATACTATGTACGCAATATGTCAGCCGATGGTCACCAGTTGAATCTTATGCATCAAGATCTTATGAATGTTGTTGCCTTGGACTTTGACATCAAGGATGAATATATGTACTTCTGTGATGTTACCGCCAAAACTATTTTCAGATCCAAATACACAGATCCTAGTGAGAAACCGGCAAGAGAAGCTGTTATACGTCATGACTCGCATGGTTTGGAAGGTATTGCTATTGATTGGGTGGGTCGTAAACTTTACTGGTTAGATAGACACTCGAAAAATCTGGATGTTTCTGAACTCGATGGTACTAAACGTAAAACTTTAAGAAGTGGTGTCGTAGATCCCAGAGCAATCGTTGTACATCCGGGCATTGGTTATTTGTACTTCACTTCTTGGCATTTGCAAGCCTACATAGCCAAGATGGGCATGGATGGCTCGAATTTCACACGTATTTTAACATGGGAAGATGATATTGCTTGGCCTAATGCTTTAGCAGTGGACTACTTTACCGATCGCATTTACTGGGCTGATGCTCATTTGGATTACATAGCTTATGCCGATTTAGAGGGTAGACATCGTCATATTGTCTTGTCGGGTGCTAAAGTGCCTCATGTATTTGCAATTTCCTTGTTTGATGACTACTTGTATTGGAGTGATTGGAATTTGAAGGCCATAGCTCGAGCTAATAAATTTACTGGTGCTAACTTTACCGTCCTACGTAATACAACCCACCGTCCTTATGATATACATATTAATCATCCTTTAAGACAAATACCCTATAATAATCCTTGTGGTACCAACAATGGTGGTTGCTCCCACCTCTGCCTTATCTCTCCACCTCCAGAGTCTACTTATCTTAATATTGAGGGTTACATTGAAGAAGGAGCTCCCGGCTATAAGTGTGCTTGTCCAAATCAATTCTACTTGGCTCGTGACAGTAAGACCTGTATTGCAAATTGTACCACAGGACAACATCGCTGTGGAGGAGATGATGAAAAATGTATACCTTGGTTCTGGAAATGTGATGGTGAAAAGGATTGTAAAGATGGATCTGATGAACCGGCTACATGTCCTCAACGTCACTGCAGAGCAGGAACATTCCAATGTAAAAACACCAATTGTACACCTTCAGCGACAATTTGTGATGGCATCGATGATTGCGGTGATGGGTCGGATGAACAAAATTGTGATTTACCTTGTCCCGACTCCGATTTCAAATGTAAATCAAGTGGTAGATGTATATTGGATAGTTGGCGCTGTGATGGTGATGCCGATTGTAAAGATGGAAGTGATGAAGATCCGGCTGTGTGTCGTAAGTTTAAAGAGTGAAGTAGTATGTCGAAAGTGTTCTAATATTTTTCTTATTGTCCAGATAAACGTACTTGTGATCCTGATACTGAGTTCAGTTGTAAGAATGGTCGCTGTATACCTAAACTGTGGATGTGTGATTTCGATAATGATTGTGGTGATGATTCAGATGAACCAGCTTACATGTGCCGTCAACGTAACTGTACCACTGGCTGGCAAAGATGTCCCGGTCAATCCAATTACCGTTGCATTCCAAAATGGTTGTTCTGTGATGGTAAGGACGATTGCCGTGATAACAGTGATGAACAGCCTGAAAATTGTCCTTCCTGTAATTTGGACACCGATTTCAAATGTGGCAACAACAGATGTATACCTAAGTAAGTCGAAGATTAAAACATTATAAAAATCATAATTATAATTCCAATTAACTTTCTTCTACAGACAATGGATGTGCGACTTTGCTGATGATTGCGGTGATGGTTCGGATGAAAATGAAGCCATTTGCAAGGGCAAGTATCGTGACTGTTCTGAATCGGAATTCCGTTGCGGTAATGGCAAATGTATATCATCACGTTGGCAGTGCGATCATGAGGATGATTGTGGTGACAATTCTGATGAGTTGAACTGTGAAGGATTCAAGTGTAAAAACGGTACCTTCCAATGTACTTCCGGTCATTGCATTGCCTCCTATTTCCGTTGTGATGGTGACCGTGATTGTCGCGACATGTCCGATGAAATGGATTGTCCACCACGTTTCCCAGGAGGACGTTATTGTCCAGAGTCACGTTTCCAATGTAACAACAATCTGTGTGTATCGCCTTCTGATTTATGTGATGGCACCGATGACTGTGGTGATGGTTCCGATGAAGATCCTAAAGTTTGCACCGACTTCAATTGTGATACTTTGCGTCGATTCCAATGTGCCAATCATCGTTGTGTGGCTCGCTATCAAATCTGTGATGGTGTGGATAATTGTGGAGATGGTTCGGATGAAAACAATATGACCATTTGCGCTACCAAAGTTAAACCCTGTGATTTGTACACACAATACCAATGCGCCAATAAGAATTGTATTGAAAGAGCTCAAGTATGTGACTACTCAGATGATTGTGGAGATGCTTCCGATGAGCTGGGCTGTCATCATACTTCATCCTGCTTGGAAGAGAATCGTGGAGGTTGTCAACATCATTGCCATAATTTAACAGATGGTGGTTACATTTGCGCTTGTTATCCGGGTTATATAATAGCTCCAGACAATAAAAAGAAATGTATAGACGTAGATGAATGTGCTACTCGCCAACACACCTGCTCGCATCAGTGCAATAACCTTAATGGCACCTATTCCTGTTCTTGTCGTGAAGGTTTCCGTCTAGTAGATAGTTCCTCCGGTGTTTGCAAAGCTGAAAAGGATGATGTGGTTCTTATATTCTCCAACGGTCCGGAAATACGAGCTTTAGATTTACAGAAGAGAGAAGAGTTTGATGTGATATTATCGGAGAAACGTATAGAGGCTTTGGATTATCATGCCGAACAGCAGATAGTATTTTGGGCTGACAGTTATGACAAGACCATCAAACGTTCGTACATGGTTAATGCAGTAGATGGTCAGGCTAAGATTGGTTATGCTCAAGACTTGAATATGAAGGGAGGCTCGAAACCCACAGCAGTGGCAGTTGATTGGTTAGCCAATAATCTCTATTGGGCTGAAGTAGATAGAACTGGTTCCAAGCCTCGTGGTAGAGTTATGGTGGCCACTACAGATGGTCGTTATCGCAGATCTATAGTAAATGCTGGTATTGAAGTACCCACCTCCATAGCGGTAAATCCTCAATTGGGTAGAATTTATTGGTCTGATGCTGGTTCTGCTCCTAAGATCGAAGTGTCATGGATGGATGGCTCTAAACGTCGTCCCATAATTACCGAACAAATCAGACATCCTGCTGGCTTAACTATAGATTATTCTCAGGATCATGTTATCTACTGGGTGGATACTAAACTGAATACTATTGAATCAATGAGACCAGATGGTTCGGGACGTAAAACTATTGTCAAGAGTGATAAGTTGAGACATCCTGTTTCTCTGGATATATTCGAATCGAACATGTTTTGGGTAACCCGTGACACTGGAGAGTTGATAAGACAAGATAAATTTGGTCGTGGTGTCCAAGTGGTGGTGCATCGTAATTTGGTTAATCCTGCTGGTCTTAAGGTTTACCATGAAAAGCGTTATAATACATCTTTGAAAGATCCCTGCTTCGGTTCAAGTTGTTCGCATTTGTGTCTTTTAGTGCCGGGTGGTCATCGTTGTGCTTGTCCCGACAGTTCTGGTTCATTGCCTTCCCATCGCAGTACCATTGAGATCATTTGTGATGCTGCCGCTGAGCGGCAAAGACCTTCTCCTAGGATTTGTCCTTGTCAAAACGGTGGTTTCTGTTTGGAAGACAATAATGGTGAACTGATGTGCGAATGTTTAGCTGACTTCAAGGGCAATCATTGCGAACAAAATGCTGCCGGCATGTTTGGTCATGGTGGTGCCAATGTCACAGCAGTGGTAGTACCCATAATGGTGATATTATTGGTTCTATTAGCAGCTGCTGGTGTTTGGTTCGTTATACGCAAGAAACCATTGTAAGTTTTAATGTAAATTATTTAAGAAGTTGTTATTTAATTTGCAATTTTTTTCTTTTTAGTGGCAAATTGGCACGTCTGCCAACTTTAACCTCTTCACAAAGTGTAACCTTCCGCCAGGGAACTAATGTTGAATTTAATGCCCCTGGTTTCCCGGGTCCCAATGCTCCAGCGGGCACCTCTACTGGTGATGTAGCGCCGCTGGAAGGCTATAATTTACAAACAGTAAATTCGAGTAAAACAAGAGATTTCTCTAATCCCATGTATGATGCTGTACAATCGGGTACAACCACCGATCCTAGTATAAGTAATGGATCCGGTAAGTTAGCTAAACGAAGAACTTGTTAAACTTATGTCTAATTGTTTTTATTTTTAGGAATTTACGAAGTGCCACATGATCCCTCCAAAAACAAACCCATCGGTCCATTTACGGAACCTGTATCAGCCATTTTAGCACCTAGCAGTATAACGCACAAATCCTCACCACAATTACAATTAAGAACCAGAGAATTAGATCCCTCCGCCGATAATGGCAAGGACACACAATACTTGGTTGAAGAAGATAAGTCTGAGTGCTGATATAAACCCTAACATCAAATTCTAGCCACGGCAACAACAATAACATTAACACCTTGTGGAACAACTACTATAAAAAGAACAAATTTAAATTTAATTTAACAGGAAACCTAAACAAAACCAATCGGAGATGTTGCTTAAAAAGTTAAAATAAATTATAGTAGACACACAGAGAGAGAGAGAGTAAAAAAGAAAATTATAAATTATTTATATATACAAGAAAAAACAAAAACATTTTTATAGAAATTTAAGTAAATGAAAACACATATCTTTGCTATATGACAAATTCGAATTAGAACAAAAAATAAATCAACAAGGCAACTCTGTAATAAATGCCTCCCTGTTTTTGCAATCTAAGTGAACAACAGGGTTGTAATTCTATGTTTTTCTTTTATATACATACAAAGAGCAAGAGAAAAATTATTATAAAAAGACAATATTTAAAAAGAGAAAATCTTAAAATTTAAAACAAAAACAGATTTTTTGTATTTATATAAATAAATCAAACAATTTTGTAAAAAATATTATAAAAAAACTAGTAAACAACATAGAAAGAAACTAAAAACAAAAAAAAAACAAATGTAAACTAAAAGAGAATCAAGAAAAAAATTTAAATAGTTTTCTAAATATTTTATATATTTTTTTATAAAAAACTAAAAAAATCATTAAATAAAAAAAACAAAAACAAACTAGCAATAGTTTAAATAATTATTTTCTTCATTAGTTAAAATTTCCACATTATAAAAAACCTTTTTTTTCGAACAAACATTTTAAGAAACTTATTTTTATTCAAAATTTATTATTTTTTAACAAAAGTATATATTTATACATATATTTAATAATATTTTTAATGTGTAATATGTTATTTTATTATTAATCAAATGTTTTTTTAGAATTGTTTTTTTTAACCAAAAAAAACATAAAGCAGAGAAAGTTATAAATCCGCTAAAAAAAGAAAAGTTATAAATTATTTTTAACTATAAAAAAAACAAAAAATTTTTGTATGTGTCTTATTAAGTTTTTAAACTTTTTATTAAGTTTGTAATCTTTAAACATTCCTTTTTTTAATAAATAGTATTTCTTTGTTTATAACTATTTTATTTAAAATATTAATTATTAACTAATGTTTTTATCACAAATCAAATGCATCACCACTGTTTTTTAGCATATCGAAATGAACAGAAACTTCTCAAGAATTTCTTAATTCTATTTACAATTTCATTAATTTGTTTCCCTAATTGTTTTAAAATTATTATATTATTTTTTTCTTCCCATTATTTTAAATTGAAAAACTTTATTTTGTTGAGAAAAGCTTAGCTTTTTTTCTGACTACAAAAACAAACAAAAAACCTGCAATATTATAAATGAACAACATGTCATCACAAACAAAAAAAAAAACAAAACAAATTATACTTTGTAATATCAAACTAAGTAAAAAAAAGAAACAAAAACATTTTTATTTAAAAGCGAATCTGTGCTTCCTTTCGTTTTTTAGAATTATATGAAAATAAATGAATAGAATTAAATTTTAAAAATTTAGTAAAGTATATATTATTATAATAAAAAAGAAAATAAAAAATAAATATGAAGAAATTTGTTAATAAAAAAATTATTGTTTATATTTTAAATTGGATAATCAGCTGATCACATTTTGGCATTTCTTTTCCAAGCTGTAGACATCTGTGGCCTCTGGTGGGTTAGTGTTCTAATCTGGTAGACCGGAAGTCGTGGGTTCGATTCAAATCGGAGGCAGTGGTAAGAGCGCAGAACAGGCCCGATATAAGTCTAGGTGTATTTCTTGGGATTTAATGTATGTATAACGAAACCCATCTTCAGTGGTCTCAAAAAACTTTTAAAGAAGTCGAAACCCAGTAACCAAAGTATACTTTACTAGCGGATTGAGCAGCGCAGAATCCAAATCTGGCATCAAAATTTCTATATCACGTCCCAGATATCCCCAGTATAAACATGTTATTGATTTCTACTTACCCAGCAACTTACTTTTCAATAACTACTACATACCGCCAGCATTACTTAAAAGTAGTCTAATAATAAAGGCCCAAATAGACTACACAAGCGGCTTATCAAACATACTTTTTTCATTCCCACACACACTACACAAACATTGCTCGTACAAACACCGATTTTTTCACGTTTTTGTGGACTTGAAAAGATACAGATGACAATTTTTCTTATAAATGGACATTTTGTGAAAATTTTGTTGTTAATAAATATAAACAATACAAACGGTTTGAAAAAAAATTCAATATGTTTGTGTAAAAATCAAATTTTTTAAATTTTTGTACAAACAAACAGCAAGCATTTGTACAAACACGAAACACCCTCATACACTACACAATAGGCTTGCACAAACGTAAAATATTGGTATGTTTGTCAAGCCGCTTGTGTAGTCTATTTGGGCCTTAAAAATCAAAATTTTTTAATTTTTGTACAAACAAACAGCAAGCATTTGTACAAACACGAAACACCCTCATACACTACACAACAGGCTTACACAAACGTAAAATATTGGTATGTTTGTCAAGCAGCTTGTTTTAGTCTATTTGGGCCTTTAGAGTCTTTACCCCCACCTTAAAAACCAGAATTAACACTCGCAATTTTATGAATCATACATTTTGTTAGAATACCACATGGAAATAATTTATTTGTCTCTTATATGGACATCAATATAAAATCAGCTAATTGGTGGACGGTTAAGATTCGGCCCGGTCTCTCTTCATATGTAAAAGTCGGATATTAGATATGACCAGTTACAGGAGAAACGGTTCCGGAACCTTGGGAAACCTCTTCGCTAATTATTTAACCGGACACGGCGTTAAAAAACCGCAGTATACTGGTATGAATGCCGTAGTAAACTTGGCGAATAAGTATAAGAAAATCGTTCGAAAAGCCAAACGAGACTCTTGGTAACTTTTATGTGAACAGGTAGATAGCGTAAATGACGTATCGAAGATTAAAAAATTACTATCCAAAACTCATGTTTAACCGAAATCTATGATCGATGACACGGGCAGGAGACTGGAGGATATGGAGGAGACTCATAATGGACACTCGTTTCCCACCTGGTATATTGGATACCATAGATGAACCGATATTGAGGGAAAAGGTTAACACAAAGGTCGTTATTACAACTGGCATGGTTAAGGAGGCAATGAAGAGTTTTACACCCTATAAAGCTGCATGACCGCATGGTATTTTCCCTTCACTTTTTCAGCTGGAGGCGGGACTGGTTTCCGTACAGATTGTCACTGCATGCTTGAAATTGACATATACCCCAATTAAAGGGCAGGAAAACCTAGTTATGCGACCTATAAGCAATATAACTATCAGGAAAAGAGTATTTCGCGGTACACCACAGAGTGGCATTTTGCCCCCTTTACTCTGGGTTACCACGATTAATAGCTTCCTATGGACCCTAACCTAGAAAGGCCTTTGACCAGTCTGCTGTGCAGACATTGTTGTAATACTTCTAAGTGGAAATGATACAAATTACTTGTGTAGGAGAGCAGAATATGCTCTGGCCTTGAGCTGAGCTCAACTGAGAGGCCTAAATGTAAACCCGGCAAAGACGGAAATTTGTCTTTTCACAAGAAAGACAAAAATGTCTATGTATACTGAACATACTTTCCTGGGCAAGAAGATACCGGTGACAGACAGAGTTAAGTACTTAGGTGTTACCCCTGAGCGGAAATTAAAATAGAGACTCTACATAGAAGATAGGATCAACAAGGCACATCCGTGCTTGGCACTATTTAGGACAACCAAAGGCATGTAATGGGGTCTTAGTCCTACTATGACACATAGGCTTTTTAAAATTATAATAAGACCAGTTTTAGGTAATGCTTCAATAATATGGTGAACTTCTTTGGAAAAAATGTGTAATATCAAACTACTACAGCGTACATGCCAGTTGGGTGTAAGTGCTGCCATGAGTACTACGTCAAGGCTCTGGAAACGTTGCTAGATTTTCAAACCCATTGAAACATATATAAGATATGAGGCGGCACTTACAGCCGAAAGGCACATAACTTTAGACGAACTGGCCAAAAGCGGTTATAGGACACATCATCAATATATAGATATTATAGAGGCTATAGATAATCATCAGACGTGTCGGAAACTTTGGAACATTAGAGCAAATACCCGTAATAATCCATTGCTACACGGATGGCTTTATATTGAGGGACAAAGTGGGCTTGGTGTTCTATATTAATGACCCAGAAACAGAAATATATCACCGTTTACCTAACTACAACACTAGCTTTCAGGCAGAAGTTCGAGCAATAACGGAATGCGTAAATTGGATTCGAATAAATATGGCGCCCACAGGACTTTACCGTCACCCAAAAGACAATTAGGGCGATTTAAGATAATAAAGTTAAATCTAATACCGTATTGGATTGACTGAATACTCTCCCAGAGGTAAGGTTGACATCATATGGGTTACTCTTTCTTTAAAGGCAAGGAAGCTCGAGCTATATAAAATTTTACGTGCGGATTTAGACGAATGTGGAACTTGTAGAGAGGACACTCAAACTCTGGAGCATTTTTTTGCCATTGTCAGTCTTTCGCCGAAATTAGATCCAAATATCTTGAGAGTGACATTATTGCGGATATATAGTAGCTCTCACGAACACTTATTGGAAAATTGATTGAATATATCATCGGTCGATATAAGGTTTTTGTGTTTACCAACAAATATTTTTCATGTAAAGGAGTGCACAACAGGCCCGATAGTGGTCTAGGTATATTCCTTCGGATTTGATGCAGATCAAATCAACCTAGTCTAACATACACTAACTTCTATCCGCCTATTTGCACTGCTAAACGAATTGGGTTTTCTGTAGAAGTCGTAGAGGAGACATATTCTTGCTCCGCTCTACAGACTTTAATGTTGCTGATCTAAAAGTTTCGATTCGATTTCGTAAAGATTCGATTACAAACCTGCTGAGGGATATTCCTTATGCTGCTTAGCTAAAAAAATTAAGTTCTCATTTTCCATGCAGTTTGCTTAAACTTAATATTTAAGCTAAATATTCCAATATTTAAGCATCTAGAGAGTATTATTTTTCAGATAAAAAATTATAATATAATACAATTTAAGATCCAGCTAAAAGTTTACTTTTCAAAATAATAATCATTTTAACCATAAACTCTTTTCAATAAAGTGAAATACGAATAGGTGGCATTCAACAAAGATTGCAATAATTCCAAATTCATGGGATATACTTTGCCCACCAAAATCTACAATATAAAAGTTTTTAGGCAATTAATGGAAATTTCTGTAGAACACAACTTACCGCACAGGGTTTTTGAGCTCTTAAAATCATAAGTTTTAAAATTTTTTGAGTGCCCACATCAAAATCAAACCAATTGCACTCATAAGCTGCAATGGCCACCAATAAACTTTGATCGTATAGCTCATTGGCAAAATAATATAAAACCACACTTTGGGAAAATATCATAAACATATAGATACTGATAATGACCATTTGGGCTACAGTTTCAGCCTGGAAGTTGGTTAAAAAAATAATGATAATTAAATTTGATTCATTTAACGATTACTTACTATAACTAAGGAGAACAACATGGCACACAGCATGGCTCCAAATGCTAAAAATTCAATCATATAAGTATGTGTGGTTAAGTTATTCATGGTCTCAACAAATCTGAAAAATATATAAAGTTCGTTTAAATTTTTAAAATGAATTGCCCGCACAGCTTTTACTTGATTAATTCCAATTGATATTTCAGACACCATACGATTACTTCTCGAGCCTTTTCATTACTGACATTTCTTAAATTGGTTAGTTTATGTTGCAAAACTTTGCACATCAGAATACCAAAGAGTATAAAAGCCACTATAAGATTTGTAAATGGAATATACATACAACAGCCCATGGGAGCTAAGATGATTTGTGTTATAAAGAACAATTCATAGAAAGGCCGTTGATATTTATCAATACCGGGAATATAAATGCCATAAGGTAAAGCTAGAAAAGAAAAGGTTAATTTGTAGCTATAATTCTAACAATAAAACTAATCAAACTCTCACCTTTGGTAGTAGCAAATATCGGATATATTAGAAAGCCCATAACCGAGCAGGCACCCATAATTAAATTAATTTTCGCCACCAATATTGAAGTTTTTGTTGTCTCATGAGTTTTTTTGCTTATAAACTTCTCCTCGGATTTCTTAAAATACAATTTTAATTAACATTTTCCACTTAAGTTGTTGAACAGACACACTCATTCTCCTTACCCTTAACTCAATATATAGAACACGCATATTTTCCATAAATTTCTCAAATCCAAAACGATTTATACACAATACCACACCTCTCAGAGTGGAATTAAAAAATAATACCGCTATGTAAGCATTGCGGATTATTGCATCAACCGGTTCGGTGCTGAAGTAAATCTCCATAAATTGTGTTGTGGTCAGTAGAGAGTACGGTATTAAGCTGGCGTATCTGCGCCAATTGTGTTCCAATAGAAATCCCCAAAATTTCATTATACGCAAACTGGAGACGAACATGGGTACTTCTTCAATAGATTTCATATCCATGTTGTTCAATGTTGGTTCTCTCCCTGTGTCTAGTACAGCAGAACAATAGTCGTTATTGAAAAGGGAAATGACTAGAAATTTAAGCAATAACGTTATGGGTTTTTATACTTGTATCAACATTGGAAATCTTTTTAACAAAGAGTTTTCCTGAAAAACCGCAAGGACATATGAAAGGGATACACACTATATTCAAGCGTTTGTGTGTGTTTGTATGTGCATATGTTTATTTCCTGTTTGTTGGGGTTACAAAACTTACTCAACCTTTTTTTACGGTTAATAATTACATACGAGTTTTGTATGCTCAATTTACGCACATCCTTTGTGGTTTTGGTCGTTTTCCTGTTTTTTTGCACAGCAGAACAAACAGCAGAATAATTTCTAACAAGCTGTAATAAATTTTTACAAAATTACATACATACATATTATGTAGTAGAGCCAAAATGTGCATAAAATTACTTAAAATTTCTCAATTAAGTTAAATTTTACAAAAAAAATAATTGTTCGGTTTTACCCCAGCAGTTCGGCTACACAGTCATGAACAAACCACTTAACCTACCACTTAAGTTGGCCCCTAACCACCTGACTACCCAAGTGACTAACCATTTTAACCTGGGCTTGTCCTACGAGGAAGTCAATCGTCACTCTATAGCCTACAAAGAGACGATCAAAAGCTAGTCAAAAGGAGTCAATGTATGATAATGTTCAAATTGTAATTAAAATTAATTTTAATTACAATTAAAAGTAATTTTAATTGGTTATTGCACAATACAAATAATTATAATTGACAAAACAATTACATGTAATTGGTAATGCTTCCATTACAATTACTTCACACGTTATATAATCATAACCACTAACTACGCAAAGAGTCAGAAATTGTCAAGTTATCTTGAGTATTTAAGCAAAGTTCTTGTCAGGGACTCCCGGAACTATGTAAAAAAATTGCTATATGCGTGTAAGGGGGCGGTGGGCTAACAGCTCACCCAGTTGTTGTAAAAGTACCAATGGGAAATAAGACCGTCATAGCTGGTGTTCGCGTAAAGCACTTCGGCTTATGTCTGATGTTTATAAACTCAGTTTCATGGACTTAATTCCTAAGTATTTTTCAATCAATATTCAAGATATTTGAATCTTATATTGACGAAAGCCTGAAAATGGCAGATGAAGTGCTTCAGAGTTTCAAAGTCCTCGCCAACATTCGCCGTAACCTGTGAGTCCAATTCGAATACGTACCATCATATTAAAATGCTATTGGAGACAGTTTTATTGGTGTCTGTGTCATTAAGTGTTTTCTAAATTGCTTCAGACTTGCTATTATTAAAGCGATAACAGTGAAAGACGTCAATGCAAATTCTCCATGATCATCAGATTTCTCTTTTATAGAAGTTAGTCTGCCATTGCAGTCGATTTTCATTTATTGTAGTCATGTTGATCTGTAATCATCTAAAATCTTTTCAAGAGCCGTCAGAAAGACTACGTTTAATTTTGCCTACTTTCAGTATGAGTACGTCTACACTTCTCCTGTGGAAGATATGAATGTACTAGACTTTTACAGCTATGTAGTATATAATCCATTTCCAGGGATTTGTATGGTTCAAATTTTCTTAGCGTTAATATTATTATACCCTACACCACTTTAGTGGGGAGGGTATATTGGATTTGTGGTGATGTTTGTAACGCACAATAATATTGGTCCTATACCCACCTTAAAGTATACCAATCGGCTTAGAATCATTTTCTGAGTCAATTTAGCTATTTCCGTCCGTCTGTCTGTCCGTCCATGTAAACCTTGTAATCAAACTACAGGTCGCAATTTTGAAGATAATTCAATGAAATTTGGCACATGATCTTCTATTGGCCCAGGGACGAAGCCTATTGAAAATGGTTAATATCGGTCCATTATTTCACCTAGCCCCCATTCTATTGTACCAGAGACGAAGCCTATTGAAAATGGTTAACATCGGTCCATTTTCTCATCTAGCCCCCATACAACTGAACCCCCGAATAGGGCTTGTAAACCTTTTAATCAAACTACAGGTCGCATTTTTGTAGATAATTCAATGAAATTTGGCAGATGATCTTCTATGGTACCGGAGACGAAGCTTATTGAAAATGGTTAACATCGGTCCATTATTTCACCTAGACCCCATACAACTGAAAACGACGAATAGGGATTTTAAGTTTATAATTATGTTTAATATACTCGTATCTCGACAAAAAGCTGCAAAACCAAGTTCTATACTAGCCTTGATGACTCGCATGAATTTTATAATTATAGGGTCTCATTTGACCATAGCCCCTATACAAATCCCCCTTTGACTTTGACTTAAATGTCCACAATTTTATTCAACAATAAATGGCTTAAGTATAATTCAAGGCAAGGTACAATTCAACTTAAATGCTTTATTATGAAAACTAAATCACATTTTATTTTTGTAACAGGTGTAGGGTATTATATGGTGGTCGGCCTCGCCCGACTATAATTTCTTACTTGTTTTTTTTTTTTCTCGTTTTTTTTTCGTTTTAAATACATATGTATGTATATGTATCGTAAATCAGATATACATATAAATGGGTAATATTAGACTATTAAACGCCCACTGTTGTTAATAATTATTTGTAATGATTATTTATATTTTATCATATTTAAATCAGAGGTAAATTGTAAACATTAGCTGCATTATCCCACATAAATATTTAATGTACTCAAGTCAATTGATAAATTTAATGTTAGTTTCATTACACAATGTCATAATAAGTTAATTTAACAAATACTTACATTAGAAGTAACTGTTTAATAAATAAGGAAGGATTTAAAAGGTTTCTACTAGAAACAAAGGAATTAATCTCAATTTTTTTATAAATCAACCTTATAATGACATTTTTTATACACATGCGATCAGTTAATGTGATCTTGATCTAAACTTTAAAGTTTTAGAAATAAATCTCGTTTTTTAAAGGGATCCTTATATAGGGTCAAATACGACCCCATATACATGTAATATAAACACGATTTTTTATTCTGTATCACGTGTAGACCACTTGTAAGTGGTCTAGGTGAAATCGTAGATCGATTTTTAATACTAAAAACACAACTACTTTAATAAATTAAAAGCATGAATCTATATTTCTATATCATATTTCTCTACAATTTCAAAAGGTGCATGCAATTTTGATGTTATTAATGTTCAAAAATATATATCTTTCAATCTCCTTTGATTTAGCTATAAACTCGTTTCAATAATGTAAAATAAGAATAGGTGGCATTAAGCAAAGATTGTAACATTTCCAAATTCATGGGATATACTTTGCCCACTAATATCTGAAAATAATAACAAATAACTTTCAATAAAAATTTAAAAAATATATATTTTAAACTTACAGAACAAGGTTTTTGAGATCTTAAGATCAATAATTTCAAATATTTTTGAGTGGACACATCAAACTCAAACCAATTACAATCATAAGCAGCATTGGCCACCAATAAACTTTGATCGTATAACTCGTTGGCAAAATAATACATGATCACACTCTGGGAAAGTATCATAAATATATAAATGCTAACAATAATCATTTGGGCCAAAGTTTCGACCTGTATAATATAGAAATCATAAGAAAGTTAAAGATTTTTCTTAAAAAACATATCTTACAATAATTAATAAAAATAACATGGCACATAACATGGCTCCATAGGCTAAAAATTCCACTAAAAATGTATGAGTAGTCAAATTATTAATAGTATCTACGTATCTAAAAAAATACTCTACAGATTAACAAGATTTTTGCTACAAATGTTCTGTAACCCATACCTTATCAATTCCAATTGATATTTTATACACCATACAATGACTTCTCGGGCTTGTTCACTACTTACGTCTTTCAAATTTCTCAATTTATGTTGCAATACTTTACACATCAAAATGGCAAAAAGTATAAATGCCACTACCAGATTGGTAAACGGTATATACATACAACAGCCCATGGGTGTAATGATTACTTGACATATAAAGAAGATTTGATAGAAAGGACTTTCGTATTTTTCAATACCGGGTACATACATGCCAAAGGGTAAAACTAAGAGAAAATATTTAAGTCACATTTCGAAATATTGAAATAAACATTCCGAAGTAGAATTAACTCACCCCTTGATGTGGCAAATATCGGATAAGTTATAAATCCAATACAAGAGCAAGTGCCCATAAATAAATTGATTTTCGAAATAAATCTAGAGGCTAAAGTTGTTTCGTGAAGCATTTTGCGTGTAGCCTTATCTTCAGATTCCTTAAAAAATCAGCAAAAATCATCAGTTATAAACTTTTTCCAATACATTAACATTAAAATTACCATCAATTCAATATACAATAAACGTATATTTTCCATAAATTTCTCATACTCAAAACGATTAATGCACAATAGCACAGCTCTCAAAATCGTATTGAAAAATAAAACCGCTATATAAGCATTACGGACCACGGCATCAATGGGTTCGGTACTAAAATAAATATCCAAAAATTGTGTAGTATTGATCATAATGTACGGTATCAAACATGAATATCTGCGCCAGTTGTGTTGCAATAGAAATGACCAAAATTTCATTATACGCAAACTGGTATTGAGAAGAGGCACATCTTCAATGGTCTTCAAAGACATATTAACGAATGTAAAATTTTCTTTTCCGAAAAAAATATTCTTAGACTTTATTAGCTGAAGTAAACTAAATACAAGCCTCTGCAGAAATTTTGGGTTTTATAGCAGATTTTTTTCATATACATATTTGAATGATGACCAGAATGACTTGCAGCATTTTTTTTTTTTAAATTTACAATAATTTTCTTAAGTTTTTATTGTGGTATAATTTACCAACAAAGTTTGTAAACAATTTGTGCATTTTGAAAATGTTGGGCCTACAATTTCAACTATGTATTTAAATGTACTTATTATTGACAAGTTTTGCTTAATCATAGTCGGTAGTAAGTTTTTTAATATCACTTAATATAGAATTGACGGGAATACCCTGGTGGAAACCATTAAAACTTTTTAACTTTACTGGTGCAGTACCATTCAAAAGTCAAATTTTACTATAGCATAAAAGTTCTCAATTTCCTATATGAAGATATATGTATATATCTCAAAAACCTAATGTGTTGTACACGTTTTTGTGGTCAGAGACCAGAAAATTTTAAAATTATACTTTGATCTCTAGGTTAAAAATGATCTGTGTTATTAATGGATCATGGCGGAACTCAAAAGCTCATTTTCATGAAAATTAAATTTTGATGGCGAAACTTCAATTACAATTACAAATAATTGTATTTGGACAAACTTCAATTACAAATAATTACAATTGGCGAAACTTCAATTACAAAATTATAAGTAATCGTAATTGGTAAAGCTTCAATTACAATTGTAATTGAAAACGTAATCATTAACCCTTAAGCCTGACATCACTGAAAATAGATTTCATTAAATAAACAAAAATCTAAATACTTACTCTCATATGACGTTTTTTGCGCACTTTCTTATGTATTGCCGAACTTACTGCACATCAGATGCAGCGCAAATGCTAAAATTGTAGAAATTTTCAAATTGATTTTGTAAATTTAACTATTTTACTACCTTCTTACCTATTAAAAAACACTTTTATACGTATGGGAGGTTAAGTGAAAAAATAGCCCTATCGATGGCACAATCCCAAAGTTTTCGAATTTTATTTTCAAAGACGACTTTTTAACTTTTTTCCTACAAGACTGCGATTTAGCGACTATTTTTGAAGAAAATAGCCAACTTTTTTCGGCAAAAGTCGATTTATAGGACTTCTTTGCTTGGAATTTATGTACCCTACAGGGTTTACTCTGTACTTCGATCGATATAATGTATTAATGTTTACAAACATCGAGATTTTTAAATTCTGAAAATACCGATATGACATTAAATAAAATATAATATTAACGGTAATGCTTTTTAAATGAACTGCAATTTAAAAGCTGATTAAAAATGTGGAACACTGCATTATCTACAGACATTTTAGTTTTCCATTATTTGAAAGAGGTAAGGCAGTATACATTTAAATTATTTCTCTAAACAAAGCAAATTGTTTATAGAAATAGGGCAATTATAAAAAGTGTATGTATTTCTTTAATTAATTTAATAAAATATAATTATAAAATACATGTTCTTTTAAGTTTAAAGTTAAATTAAATGCGTTTCTTAGTGAGAACTACTAAAATTCAATACAGTTTGATAACAATTGCTTGCAAATGCAACTCTGTTGTACAAAACGCAATAACAATTGAAAATTCATATTCAAGACATAGGCCGGTTCTGCTTAAAAACAACTAAACCTAGCCGCCAAAGAAAAATTAAAATTAATATATCATAAACTTCATTAGATTTAAATTTTTTTTTATAGATATTTCTAAATTTGTAAATTTATCAGAATTACTTATTAACACCCACAAATATCATATTTCAGACGATACGTTCTGCAATATTATTATTTTAGAGACCTTTCATTTGATATGCATACCTATGTATACATATATATGTATACCTAGTGTCCATACCTATGTATATATATGTATACCTCGTGTCCAATGAAGAACTAAATATTAAGAATATGGTGATGAATATTACAAATTATTTTATACACATTATATGCAGCAAAATATTGCATTTTTGTATAAAGTTGTATTAAGTGCAGATTTTATATGTATATGTAATTTAAAAACTTTAAAATATTCTTTTAAAATCCCACGTTTAAACATTTGGTTACGATTTTATTTTAACAACGTCGTTGTATTTAAAAACTCAACTGAGAACTTAACAAACGTCGTTAATGTTTGTCGGCGCCGGACTCTGCTCTGCATACATTTTAAAGTAGGGTTCTATAGTTGAAACGAATAGTCGACTTTTCGACTTTTAGACTTTTTGCATTTAGTTAAAAGTCGACTTTTCGACCTTTCGACTTTTTCCATTTTATGAAAAGTAGATTTTTCGACTTTTCGACTTTTTTCATTTATTTAAAAGTCGACTTTTAGACTTTTCGACTTTTAGTATTTTATAAATGGTCGACTTTTCGACCTTTCGACTTTTTCCGACTTTTCGACTTTTCGACTTTTTCCGACTTTTTTCGACTTTTCGACTTTTTCCGACTTTTTTCGACTTTTCGACTTTTTCCGACTTTTTTCGACTTTTTTCGACTTTTCGACTTTTTTCGACCTTTTCGACTTTTTCCGACTTTTTTCGACTTTTCGACTTTTTCCGACTTTTCGACTTTACGATTTTTTACGACTTTTTGACTATTTTCGACTTATTTCGACTTTTTTCGACTATTTTTTTACTTTTTTCGAGTTTTTCCGACTATTTTAGAGTTTTTGACCTCTTTTCCACTTTTTTAAAATTTTCGACTATTTTCGACTTTTTTCGACTTTTCGACTTTTTTCGACTTTTCGACTTTTTCCGACTTTTCGACTTTTTCCGACTTTTCGACTTTTTTCGACTTTTCGACTTTTTTCGACTTTCTTCGACTTTTTTCAACTTATCGACTTTTTTCGACTTTTCGACTTTTCGACTTTTTTCGACTTTTCGACTTTTCGACTTTTTTCGACTTTTATTTACAAAGTCGACTTTTCGACTTTTTTCATAGACGATAGTCGAGTTATCGACTTTTTTGGAACAAAATAGTCGACTTCGACTTTTCGACTTTTTTCGACAAAAAGTCGATTGTTCGATTATTCGAAAGTCGATTTATAGAACCCTATTTTAAAGAATAATAGAACAAAGAAAAACAAGCCAAAAATAAACCGCTAAAACATCCCCCCACCAAAATGAAAACAAGCTTTTTTATGTGAACGAATGAAAAAAGTGTAATAAAAATTCTATACAATTTTTCTCATTTAGTTTGCCAATAAAACTCGTCGTGTTTACAAGTGACAACCAGCAGGTTTTCTCTAAAAAATTCGCAACGTTAATCTTTGTGTACGTAAGCATAATGTGTAAGAAAATTTTTCAAGTAAACTTAGTGACAAAATATATATAAAATGCGTAGATTAATTTGATACCTACAGTAAATAACAAAAAAATATTCCCAGAAAAAAAAACACGTGTGTTACCAACAAAGAATTGTTCATAATTTTTGGCAAAAAATATTCTATATGTATATGCAATATCTTAGCGTGCTTAATAAATGTGAGAGATAACAAATTATAAACAAGGCCAAGACCTCCAGGTATTTTGGTTAGATAATCGTAGCGTTTGTTGGCAAAAAAAGGATTTGTTTTGTTGTACATTCTATGAAAATCTATATGAATTTTTAATCTAATTTATGTTATAAAAATATATATTGATGTCGCCAAGAAATGGTAAAAACTTTTTAAAATACCACATAGTGGTCAATAAAAAATCGATTGAGCTTATTCTTCTTTCCTTTCGAAGACTTGAACCTGCCCCCTTTAATTTTTTTTTACATTTATTTTTACTCGTAACTTGGCAAACATTTTATTCATATTGTTCCACCTCCTTTAGACGGTTTTTATTTTATAGTATTTTTAAACTTTTTCAATGGTTTTATCTTGTCTTTTTTTTGTCATTTTTCATCTCTTTGTGTTTGCTTTTATTGTTTACTTTTGCTACTACTGGATGATTTGTTTACATTTGTATCATTTATTACTTAATTTGTTGCTATTGTTGTTTTTTCTCTACTTTTGTTGTGTGTTTTAATTTTGCATTTTGTTTTTGTTGTCTACTTCTTACTTTTTTTGATTTTCTCTTTCATGGCAATATGTCAACTAATTTGCACTTGTTACATTTCTTCATGTCGCTACAGATGATGCGTTTCTATAGTTAGTTCTTAGATAACTTAGAAAAAAATAATGGGTCCGCTTTGATTGAACATATTTAAGATTTATTACTGGTGTAGGGTATTATATGGCGGCCACTCCCAACTATATTGTTTATATTTATTATTAGCAAAGATAAAAGCGGTTTAATTTTTCAATGTTTAGGTTTAAGTTAACAAGTGTTATGCACAATAAAAAGGTGCACATCCACTCGGAGAAACAAAAACAATATAAGAGATCAAGAAAAAAGAGTATACAATGTAGGTAAATAGGATAGCTGAATGGTGACATGTCTATTTCAAAGGAAATTCAAAGGTGACTGAGCAATCCTCCGTTAGCAACTCTATCAGATTCCTTAGACTGCGTTTATCCCGTTCTATAAGTATTTTGGTATAGTTACTACTATCAAGTGTTGGTCATAGGGCCTTTGATATTTTGCAGTCCAATCTACTATTCAAGGGCTGGCTTATGATGTCACGGATTCTTTCGAATATCAACCTATAATAGTGACAAATGAATGGTTTTACCATCCTTTGCCTTTCATCTACCTATATCAAGGTTCGAATATAGTTCGTCTGCAACCTCATTACAATACATGCCATACTGTCCCTAAGGGCATTTCTACAATATACAAACAAGCGCGAATGATTCCGTATCAGTTCAGTCGCTAGGATATCTGCTTGGAAGTCACTACATTCATCTGGGAGTCTGAAAGATCATTTTATGTTGATATCAGCGATATCTATAGTTTACTTATTACCAGCTAAATGAATTAAAATAACAAATAATCTTCAAATAATACCTCAAATTATAATTATTCAACTATTTCTCAAAGCTGTAACCAATCTTAACAATTCCAAAGAACAAATCTTTGAAAAAAAAACTGTACCTAAAAATTCTATTTGACTTATGGTCTATATAATTTGCGTTAACAACTTTAATTTGCCTTAAACAATTTTAAAAGGGGCTCGTCTTTAGTTATTCTAAAATAACGCAATATTTTCTCATTTTAATGTTATAATATTATTAATAATGAATCGAAAAAAGTACCTATTTATAAAAGAAAATCTTATAAAATTTATAAAAATTTTCCATAAAAATAGCTATTTTCAGTTCCCCTCCAAAGAAAATGTTCTTAATATCTGGTTATAAATTTAATTTGTTATATTATGTTTTCATGTGTTTATTTACTTATGTATATATACCGCCAAAAAAAAAAATAAAAACATTAATATTTGTGAAAAAAGAAAACATAAAATTCTAAAACATGAGGCAGCATATTTAAAAAAAGCGGTATAAACCAGATGAATCTTAATTAGGCAAATATATGCTAAATAATACAACTATTTTTTTTTTAAAGAGATCACTTTCGTTGACAGTTTTAAAACAAAAACACATGTGAACTAAAATTTATTTTTAGAATTATATGAATTAATTAACATTTGTACTTAATTTGTAATTTTCAGATGTAAAGGCATCTGGATAGATAGTTCAACTTCAATTTGAAATTTTAAACAAACAAAGTATATAGTACTTTTAACAGACTTTTTTTGATTGTTTTGTCATATATTTTTTTAATATAACATACATACATATTTTTTAAAAATAAAACATTGTTTGTTATTTTGTACTTTGTCCATTAGTATTTAAAAAATTTTTAGTAAACAATTTCACAAAAAAATATATATAATTAATAACAGATTCATTAACATACAAATGCAGTACTTTCATTATCAAGATCATTCGTTTTCTATATTTGTGCAAAATATATTTATTTCTACTTTTGATGTTTGCCTTGTTAAAAAAAGATTTCTTGAGCATTTGCCAAAATTTCTGAATTTCAAACACACTTATACAAACCTATACTATACATTTGAACTAAAATTAATGAAACAACTTTAACCACCCCTCCTTCCTTAATTTCAGACAAAAATATATTCAAATTTAATTATTTCGTGTCGCTCAACAATTAGAAAGAGGTGTTAAATGTAATTCATGAGTTTTTTTATCAGCGTATCAGATCAATCAACAAGTGTTTGGCTTTGTGAGAGGCTTTTATAAAAATACATTCCTTCCGCCAATTACCTGCCCCTTTAATAAACTAAATTTATTAGTTTCATTGTAATTTTGTTGACAACCAAAATTCGTTTTTATAATTTGTTGAATAAACAACAAGTCTCCGTAAAAAAACATGCCATAGTGTAGAATTATGTATGTTTGTATATAATTTGGTGTTTTTATACCCACCATCAAAAAAGATGGGGGGTATATTGTTTTTGTCATTCCGTTTGTAACACATCGAAATATTCATCTAAGACCCATAAAAGTATATATATTCTGGATCCTTATTAAATTCTAAGACGATCTAGCCATGTCCGTCCGTCTGTCTGTCCGTCTGTTGAAAACACGATAGAGTCCAAACGGAAGCAGCTAGCGAGCTGAAATTTTGCACAAATATTTTATATTGATGCAGTTTGTTTGGTATTGAAAATGAGCAATATCGGTCAACGATTTCGCCTAGCCCCCATATAAGGTCCCCTTCAGAAAACGACTTTAACGCTCATAACTGACTAAAAGAAACATCTATAGCGATGAAATTCGACATTAACATATTTTACAGGAACCTTAATATCATTGTAAAATTTTTTATGGATCGGTCCATAATTGACCCTATCCCCCATATAAGGTCCCCCTCATAAAATCATATTAACGCTCATAACTGACTAAACGAAGCAGCTATAGCAATGAAATTCGACACAAGAACATATCGTATAGGAATCTTAATATCACTGTAAAATTTTATAAGGATCGGTCCATAATTGACCCTATCCCCAATATAAGGCCCCCCTCAGAAAATTACATTAACGCTCATAACTATCTAAAAGAAGCAGCAATAGCGAAAAAATTTGACATAAACAATTTTTATAGGAATCTTAAAATCATTGTAAAATTTTATAAGGATCGGTCCATAAATGACCCTATCCCCCATATAAGGTCCCCCTCAGAAAATGTATATTAACGCTCATAACTGACTAAAAGAAGCAGCTATAGCGATAAATTCGACACAGACATATTTTTTAGGAACCTCAATATCTTTGTAAAATTTTATAAGGATCGGTCCATGATTGACCCTACCCCCCATATGAGGTCCCCTTCAGAAAATGACATTAACGCTCATAATTGTTTAAAATAAGCATTTACAGCGATGAAATTCGGCATAAACATATTTTATAGGAACCTTAATATCATTGTAAAATTTTATAAGGAACGGTCCATAATTGACCTTATCCACCATATAAGGCCCCCTCAGAAAATGACATTAACGCTCATAACTGACTAAAAGAAGCAGTTATAGCGTTGAAATTCGACACAAATATATTTTATAGGAACCTTAATATCTTTATTAAATTTTATAAGGATCGGTCCATAATTGACCCTAACCCCCATATAAGGTCCCCTTCAGAAAATGGCTTTAAGGCTCATTACTGTCTAAAAGAAGCATCTATAACGATGAAATTCGACACGAACATATTTTATAGGAACTTTAATATTATTGTAAAATTTTATAAGGATCGGTACATAATTGACATTAACCCGTCTCCTTCTGAAAATGGCTTTAACTCTCATTACTAGCCTAAACTAAAATCGTTCTAGAAAATTTGACGAGGATCGGTCCATAATTGACCAAACGTCCCCCCTAAATAAGGTCCCTCTCAGAAAATAACTTAAATGCTTTTTACTACCTTAAAAATGCAAGTATAGCGACAAAATTCGACAAAAATTTCTCTATACATAGATGTAATAAATGAGAAAATTGTTTGGATAATAAAAGCATGGATTCTTAAATATCAAAGTTTATTTATAAGGAAGCATTCCTTTTTGGCAATGATTTGATGGTGGGTATACAAGATTCGGCACAGCCGAATATAACACTCTTACTTGTTTTATATTCATATCTTATCAAATATTTAATATTCTTTTTTTCTTCTTTATTATGTTTGTTAACTACTATAAATGATTAACTTGGTATTTATTAAAATATCTTGTCATGCAAACATTTCTGGCTAAAATTATTAAGGTGTTGTTTCTATGAAATTGTTAATTTTTGGGAATTTGAAGAAGTACAGGTTATTATTGTGATTAACATGAAATTTTTTGTCGAATTATAAAATGAGTTTGTCTAAAATTCGTCTTTTGGACAGAAGTCGAGTGCTTTAAGTGAACACCTGCCAAACGGCCTATTTCACGGTGGTACTTTTACAACCACTGAAGAACTTGAGACTACTCAACGGCGCCCCTTTGTGGGCCTTGCACAAGACACGCAAATGGCAATTTTTGTATATAGTACCGCCGGTCCACGTGCAAATCACTTTGCTCGAGTACATGAGCTATCCAATCTCCGACAATTGCTGTCCCATTGCTTAACTTTCTAGTTGCAAAAACTTTATTTCCGTTTTTTATGTTAACAAGGGATATATAAAACTAGATGTAGAAAGCGTTATTTTATAATTTTTAATTGAATTTAATTTTTTTAATTGATTCCAAGATGAAGTTTCCAAAGTAGTCCCACTGAAATAGTGTCAAAGAACTGGTTCCCTTATAATTTTATAATCACAATAATGTTTGAGAAGTAAAGGCAACATCATTAGTACCTCGCTGTTTAGAAATCTCAAGCAGTTCTGTTTGCATCCGTAAAAAACTGCATTAAAAATATTTAAATAAAATCTCAAAACCTTTTATTTTTGAAAAATTATTTCCTATTCAATCAAGTACACAATTTCCAAGACTAATAATCTTCCGGATTTAAGTCGTATTTACATTTTTGTTTGCCATTCTTATCAGCTTTTCAAAAACATTACACTAATCTTTAACAGTTTCATCTGAGCGTATTTCAATGATCAGTTCAAATTTCATTGATGAACGAACGTCATATGGCTTGTGTGAGTACAAAGAGTATTTTTTTCATTTTGCAACTATTGTAAGTTCTTTTTTATAAATTCAATTTAACAGACAAAACAGATTATTTGTGTTTCTTTAAATATTTATATAAGAAATTAGCACCTTCTTAATAAAAACCCAAATAAATACACAAGTCTGGAGTTAAAAGAAAGAAAATAATATCTAGATGATTTGCAATAAAATGTTGGGCATATGATTGAATATGTAAATATACAAATACATACATAATTTATTAATTTGCTATTAAAGACTTCAATTGAGTTCAAATTTATTTTAAGAAACGGTTTGCTAAAATGCATACATTCTTGGGTGGACTTTATTGTACACATTTAAACAAATATCGCTTTTGTAGAAAAGCAAATTGCATTTCAATTTTAAATATTTTTGTACATAATTTTTATAAATTGTTCAATTTTCTAAAAAATTAGTTGGAAAAAGTTATTTAATATACAACAATACCACACAGATTGCGATTTGGGCAAATGTTTTCAAAAATATCTTTAAAAATCATCTTATCTAAAACTAAATTTTTTAAAAACTCTACAGATTTATTAAAAAATGTTTGTTTCAAATCTTAAACATTTCAGGGGATCGTTTTTTATAAATTATCTTTTAACAAATCTTATCTTTAGGTAACTGCTTTTGTTTAAAGCCAAAAATATTATTTTAGCAAATTTATTAAACGTAAAATTTTTAATTATTTCATAATAGCAGTTACTTAACCTAAACTCATGATGCAGTCTTTATATTTATTGCAGTAATTGTACAATACCAGTTACTTTTAATAAATAAAAAGTAAAATGAAATTAAAAGCAATTAAAATTAATAAAACTGCAATGTTTCTTAGTGTCGTCGTGAAGCGTCATAAAGTATATGGACTGCACACATTTTTTCTGGTTATTAAGTTCATCATATACATACTTTTCTTTTGTCATATTCGTTTAATATTTATGGCGTGATTTTTACAGTTTCTCCTTATTCTCACTTGGACCAACAGTACATTTTTCGCTTTGAGTCTTTCTCAAAGATTTGAGCGGCTCTAAGTTTGACCTAACTATTAATAAGTTAATATATCTCAAAAATTGAACAGATCTGACACAATTGAATGCTTTGTTTTGAAACTAATAAGGCAACATAACTTTGTATTAAAATGTCTCTAAAATCTTCAGTGATTTAAAAATAGAAAGGTAGGTATTTAGCAGTGCTGAATCCGAATCTGAACTCAAAATATATCCATCACTAGATATCGTGATATAAAGTTTGAAAATCCCCCTTTTGAGCCATATTTGAGCGTGAAGACACTTTTATTTATAAAATTTGTTATATCATCTGAAAGTCCAATCTCTCGACTTTAGAATAAAGATTTAATCTTCAAAACTCAATTTTTGTCTTCATTTAGCCTTTTTTAGGAAAAACTTATAAGTATGTTAAAATTTGTTATAATTTTCTTTTAAAAATACTTTTTAAATTGTTGAAAAATCTCTTGTCTTTACTGAGATATCGTCCGTTGAAGTTTTTGCTGTAAAATAAAGACTATTTATATTATTTTCAAACGTTAAGGTAAAATATCTCTAAGAAAAAGGTATAACAGTGGTTCAATCTCTATTTTGAAGTGGAAAGATTAGACTTTTAAATGAAAGAATATATTTTATAAATAAAGGTATCTTCGCAATATTATAGCATCTATAATATGACCAAAAATGGGTGCTTCTCAATCCATCTGAGAAGTAGAATTAGAATTTTCGATTCAGGTTTTGATTTTATTTAAATTTTGTTGGCCTGTATTATTAATAACTTTTAAAAGTAGAGAATTTAAGAAAATATATATTTTAGTACAAAAAAATGGTGGGAAATATTACAAGGCACTCTTACAAAGTGTCTTGTAAAATACCATCACTAAACAGCTTATTATATGAAAATTTTGAAAAAAGTTTAGGTAAAAGCTTTCTAAAGAAGCTTAAAGCACAAAAGTTTTCTAAAACTGTTTTACCTACAATTGTTACCAACTACATATATATGACTTATCAAAACAAAATATTTCCAGCGGTCGCAGTAACGACTCACCTCAGCCCACTTTTTAAACGTTCCTATATTTACTAAACTTATCAAATATTATTAATGACTTTAAGTATATAACGTAATTTACTTAAATTTTCTTATCATTATTTTTCTCTTTAACTAACTACTTGTCTCTTTTAACTACTCTTTATCTCTCTCTCTCTCTTTATAAATCTCTTTACAGTTGTTTTAGTATAGCAAACAAACCAAACAAAATAAAAGCTTTCCAAAACAACCACTACTACTACTGTACTGTACACTAAACCGTATACAACACTCCACCACCATCACTCCTGCGGCACGACGAGTATATACACTTTTTCTATACAATATAATTAAATATCAAAACAAAAAACAATGAGTCGTCTTTTACTTAACAATTCCAATGCTGTTATCCAGCGCGCTACTGCCGTCGCTGCTGCATCTAGCAGTAATAGCGTGAGAACAACATCACCGGTGTTATCAAAACATGTAGCTCGTCGCTGGAAATCGTTGTTGATTCATGTGAATCAACGTCAGCTCTCCACAACAGCATTCAGTCCGGCTCAAACATTTAACGCGCGCACTAGTCGTCTCCTCAGTAATACTAATAATAATAATACAACGGAATATTGTCGCGCTTTAACCACATCTGCCGTATTTAATTCATCAGACAAAATGCCTGGACAAACTAATAAATGTTTGCAATTGGAAAATATCAATCCAAATTTTATTACCATGGAATATGCTGTGCGTGGACCATTGGTTATAAGAGCTGGTGAAATTGAAAGGGAATTGAAAGAGGTATGTATGTATGTACATTGAACAATTGTTTCTAAGTGCCATTTGTTTTTGTATCGAGTAAAAAAGTAAATAGAATACATTTGCTAAAATTTACACAAATATTTACCTTAAGTGTGTGTAGGTGTGTAGTTACATAGACATGGGTGGCCAGATATATGTTTAATAGTGTATACAATTCGGTATATTAAAATACCCATAAGAAGTATTTTGAGAATTTACAAAATTCTTCAGATCGAAATTAGTGTCTTTATGTGCAAGGTGTCTTGCAAAATTGCAAATACCAAATGTCGTTTTTTTTTGCAATTCAATAAAATATAGAGTCCTTTAATTGTCACATATAGAGTCCTTTAATTGTCACATTAGTTCATTATTTTGAACGAGACCTTTGCCTAGCTCAATTAACAATCTTGTGTATTTATATTGCAAATTAATACAAGGGTGTTTTCTGTATATTTTGTTAGTGTATAGTAAAAATGCAATGATGTTTTCTTAAATTGTATTGTTTTGTGTAGGAAGAATATTTAAAATAATTTGGAATCTTGCAAATTGAATAAAATGTACCTATTAGGCAACAATTTTATATAAATACAGATTTGTTGCTCCTGGCATTGCAATATTACTACGGTGACATGGTATGTGGATCTTTGGTATGGCAAATATAATCAAGTTTAGTAAATCAAAGTTACTTTTATAAAGTTGTTTTAATAGAATTTTTACTAGAATTGCTATATTTATAATGAATTTTAAGAAATGAAGTAAAAGTTGCAAGCTTTGCAAACTAAAATTATGTAGAATTCGATTAAGGTATAAAAACTTGTTGCGTATATTGATTTGACAACAAAATATCCTATTTTGGTAGACAATAAAATAAGCCTTTCTCTAGCAACATAAAAAGTTTTAATTGACTCTAATAATTGTTGCTTTTTCTTTAAAAATAAATACCTCTACTATTTACCTATCCAAAAATACAGACAACAACAATACGTTACCATGGAATTGAACTGGTTTTTTTTGGATTGTGTTTAAAATTTTTATTTGGTTTATTATTGTTTTTGTTTGTTTTTCTATACTCACTAGCTTGTATTTGCTTAAGAAAAGTGTGCTAAGTTATGAATATGTATTAAGTGTTTTCGTTCTTTTTTATTATTTTGTTGTTTATTTTTTTGGTATGTTTTCTGCTCTTTATCATTTGTTTATAACTAGAGACCCAACAAAAAAAAAAAAAGTCACTTAAATAAATTTTTGATAACACACGTTTTCCTACCAACAATAAAATAATTCTATTCCATATGATTTTTGTTAAGCAATTTTAAGAGATTAGTTAATAAAAACGTCTGAAATGAATAATAAAACCAAACAAGTAGTATGACAATTTGACATTTATTAGGAGGGGATGATATCCTATCTAAAGTAGTTGAATTTAAATTTTAGTTTCAGAAAAATGCAAAAATCAAGATTTTATTTAAAAATATAGTTTTAGCTTTGAATTTCAAACTTATTCAAAGTTGTTTTTTATCACCTGGATAATATCAATTATTATAAAAAATTTCAATTTCGAATTGAAAACGTAGACTAAAATCAACCTTTGCTTTTCGTTCTTTTATAAATTTATGATAATTCTATAATAGCGATAGTAAAAACGCTATATTTTAAAGCAAACATCAAATGTAAAAAGTATTTTATTAAAATAAGCTTTTAACATAAATTTGTTTTAATGTTTATTAAACATTTTCTAAAAGTGTTTATTTCAAAAGTTGAGAAAAGTTTCCCTTATGTTTTACACGTAATTCGATTGGGTAACATTCCTCTGTTTGCCTCATTTGAACACCTTTCATACGTATGTTAAATATATTTGTATTCATTTCATGCTATTGCTACAATCGTAAGCTGCAAATCGTATTTTGATGCTAATTTTTAAAATATATAGTATGTACATACATATTTAAAAAGTACTTTTATTTTTCTGTCTATATCCAAAAAAAAGTACTTTTAATTTACTTTTTCTATATCCCAATACATATTTTTGTAAAGAACTTTTTATAGCAAACATAATTATTTTTACAAATTGCTAGGATTAGGTTTAGAAGTATATGAACACAGAGACCATATGTTCCATTGCGATATCCTTAAAGAGTGAAGATTGAAAGGCAGAGAAACAAAAACACTACAAGAAAACAAGAAAGAAAGAAGAAGGTAAATAGGATAAGAGAAAGGAAACGGGTCTATTTCCAAGGGATTATAATCCAGAAGATTTATCAAGTCTGTACCCTAAAGAATAAAGAAATAAAGCCCAGTCGAAGAAGTGACTAATTGAATCCCTTGACAAAACCTATTAGACTGCGAGTATCATTGCTAACAGAGTTAACAGCTGCTATCGATAATTTAAATGAGATTGCCGGAACTGACAAACACTTTTTGGGGTTAGTAACAAATCCATAAAACACTATATATGTACCTAAGGCATTTTCCCACAACATTTCCTCCTCTCAATCTTACTTAACCTAAATCAAAAGATACAATTTTGGCATACTAAAGCAAAGTGAAAGCATTTGCAATGGTAGAAAATTGGATCTTATCACCGAATCGTCCAAAGTTTGTCAACTCAGCGACAGCTTTATTAAAAGAATTCGTTTCCCCTGAAAAGAACTATTCCATACAGTCAAACTGTTACTACAGTTCTTGAAAATATATCAAATATATAACATCTACCAATTTAGACTCAAAACTGGGCTTGTAAAAAGCTCTTATACACACTTAGGGCCTTATTCATAACAATTTATCAAAGGTTTATAAGACAATTTTTCATACAAAATTTGTTCTATAAACCTTTGATAAATTGTTATGATTAAGGCAGTTATAATATTTTTATTTTAATTAAAAATTTTCCATCAACATGTCTGGCTAAACATGACCTAACACAATATTGTGTTAATTTGTAATAATATTACACATTATAATGATTAAAAAATACAACAAGAAACAAATATACATATTATCAAATTTATTTTAAAAATTTTAAACAAACCCACATTTTAAATATTAAATAATGATCGCATTATCATATAGCTAGAGGTCATTTAGGATTTTGTCTCCAAATTGTCATCAAAACTCAATTTAGAAACTTAAGAATCTAATAACACAAATTTCATTTAACTTGTTTACTATTTATCTACTTTATTATTATTATTATTCTTTTTTGTGTGATGACATTAAATGACAGTTAAATTTAATATTTAACTTAAATTCAACACAATATGCAGTAATAATGTCAGTCACATCCGCCGCACATGAAACAAATAGAAGAAAATTGTCATAGTTTATCAAATTTATCAGTTAATCCATTTTGAGTTTTTAGAACGAATATGAATACGTGGCCACAAGGGGGAGTTTGATTAATGTTTTATTTTTTCAAATTTTGAAAAAGATTTGTCATTTATAAATTAAATGAATATGTGAGCAGACAATAGATAAGTTAATATGAGTTTTTGAAAATATGCTCTTAGATAAATAAACATGTTGCTTTATGATTAAAACGATTTTCCCAATGATGTAGAGTGAATTTTTGCAATGATATTGTTATTTTAACAATTGCAAAGTTTCTTTATCATTAATTGATTTATTTGTTATTTAAACAATCAGCTTTTATGCAAACAATAAAATTTCAATTATTTACTGTTTATCTAAATTAAAAAATTACTTCAAAATAATCACTAAGCAATTTAATATAGAAAATGAAAACAATAACCTTTAACAAAAAAACAACTTCAATGTTGGTGTCTGCAATTTTCTTTTCTTCATTCTCTACGGCCCATTTTCAACACACATTAACTACGTAGTAGTCTGCTGCTATATTATATAACACTTAATATCGATTTAAAAAAAATATTCTTTAAATTTATAAAACAAACTCTTAATCCAAAAAAAAAAAGAAAACAGACTATAGTATAATGTGACGTTGAAAAAACAAAAAAGATGAAAAGGCAATTTCATCGATATACAATAAAATCGAATATAAAACGTGTCTCAAACAAAAGAACATTTATCAGCAGACTTTAGCATCCATTCTCATCACTACACATTTCAAAGTGTTTAGATTTGTTACAAAGCATTTATGTTAAAGATTAAAAAATCACTCATACACACACAATATGTTTTCTTTATTATGTTTTCTTTATTATGTTTTCTGAAAAAAGAAATAAACTGGAAAATTTAACAGTATAAAGAAAATATATTATTATAATATGCAGCCTAGGAAGTGCTTCCACATACCATACCCGCCAATATCTAAATAAAGGCAACAACACAGACAACATTAACTGTGACAAAGATGAAGATAAATCTCTTTATACTTTCTTGGAAAAGAATTTTTTTGCGCATGTTTTTCTTTGGAGAGCAAAAATTTTTTATACACATATGTATTATTATAATTTCTATAAATTTTGTGAATGACAATGAAAATATACCATACATATTGCACTTTTTACTACGTAGCAACAGTATGAAAATAAGCTAAGCATACAGGCACTCCACTTGCAAAACATTGCATTTGAAGCAAGACCAATGCAAAGAGACTATTGTCAAAATCACGAGCTGTTAGAGCAGCGCCACAGTATTCGTTGAAGGGGAGCGCAAGATCACAAGCATCCAGTGTTCTGTTATTACTGATATCAACCTAGATATATCTCGCCTATTTCGAGTTATAAGGTATCTTGTACGTTTCTCATTAAAAGAAGGCCACAGTAACTTGGCTTCTCTACATGTGCCATAGTTATTATACAAATTTTCCGCCTTTTGGAGAAAGAATCTGTGGATACCGCTTTTGACAAAACCTAAGGGAGATATCCAGAGCAGATGCAAGATCTTAAATAATAAAAAAACTTTATCTTAACTTCTGCTTACTTGATGTAATGTCTATCGAGATACTTATTGGTTGGGATAAGCGCATTCTAAAGATTCTGAAAGAAATATTAACGGGTCATTGCTCTATTAGGATCTTTGTT